AATCCCAATCACAGTTTGCCACCTGGTTTTTTACGTAAAACTTAACGTAGGTTTTAGTAGATGTAGCATTGCTCTTTATCATAATTTTATACTTTCACCGTCCGAAATTAGTTAACATTGAAACGTTTTTTTTGCGGGGTGCCCCTTTCTGCTATTTAGCTGTCGCTGTGGTGCTGTCTGATCGATACATCAAACTATTAACCCGCAAAAAGAAAAAAGAAAAAGAACCCATGGTGTTTTAGAACTTGGAGTCATAAATTTAGAGACAGTTCGGTCAGACATTTTGACTACTTTCATCGTAGCAGATAAAGCAGGAAAAAAATACCATACAGATTTTGCGCAAATAAACAAAACACCATACAGATTAGAAGTAGATAACAACTCAAGAATTAACTTTTGGCATTCCTGGTAGTTTTGCATCCAGTATTGTACTATACACACTGGGAGATATTTACAGTCTCTTTCCCACCTAAATCTACAAAAATCAATTTAATACTATTGGCCTAGGCCGTTTGGCCTCAGGAATTAAGAATGGTTCCAAAATTGAAGGAACAAAAAAAAAATGAACAACACTATCTTTCTCTTGCAGAAATGCTCGAGTCAGTCAGCAGCCTCCTGTATGATGCTCAGAGCTCGCTTCAGCCTCAGCCGCGACCGCGCTGCGAGCTTCCCGTTGTTCTTCTTCGCCGGACTCAGCGACACGGCGAACTCCCCGAGCGTCCGCTCGTTAAGCTTCTCGTTGAACATGACGTCCTCGCAGTCTTCCACCTCCTCGCGCACCGGCACGACGCGCAGGTTCTTCTTGCCGCCGCGCTGCTCGGGGCTCTTGGCCGCGATGGCTGCGCTCGCCCGCGCGGCGAGCGCGGCCATGTCGGCGCTCGAGAGCGGCCGCCCCAGCTCCGCGGCCGGAAGCAGGAAGTATATTTGTCCCGGCCGGAGCAGCTCGTCGGAGGCTAGCGCAGGTGGGGGCTCGTTGAAGTAGAGCGCGTCGGAGTTGCACACGAAGAAGGAGGCGGCCTCGCCGGCAAGAACGTCGGAGACGGCGACTCGGGGGCTGGCTGGGAGCTCCTTCAGCGAGCCGTCGGCGGCGATGACCCTGACCGGCGCCGGATGGTGTGGCTGCTGCGAGAGGGTTCCTCGGTGGATGGAAGAGCAGGAAATCTTGGCGCCCATGGAATCTTTGGAGGTATGCTGTGCGTGGAAGTGTGAGATTTTTCTGTCGAATTCGTTGGAGCTTTGGATGTTGGATGTGGGGATGGAAAGGAGGTGATGTATATATATAGAGGTGGGTGGTGAGCATCAGAGAAGAGATTAAAAAACAAATCAGAAAGTGATAGAAATGAGACAGCACTTCTCACTTCAGTCCCTTGTTTCTTGTCCAATTGTGAACATACACATGCACTGCTTGAAAATTCATATATTTGTGAAGAGTTTTTTTTAACTTGCCATAGAATATTCAATTGTGAGTCTGGACTCATCTACATCTAGTGAGCAGTAAATTCAAAAAAATATCAGATTTTTTAATGAAAGCTATTTTAGTACTTGAGATGCATGCCAAATTTCAAAGCATTTGTAGATATGAGTAGCTCTCAGCAAAAAAAAAAAAGGTGGGTCCAACCAATGCACAAATCGTAAACTTTTTCACAAACCTTAATTTTTTTTTGCTAAGAGCTATTCAGACATCCAAATGCTCTGAAATTTTGACACAGACATCATTCTCTCAGTCATCTATATTTTGAATTTATTTCATATTTTAACAATTTTTTCACTCACAGGTTCATCTGAGCCTGGGAGCCAAAACGACTTGTCCATGGTGAAGTAGAACCGTATCTCTTTTTCTTTGCGGGTGAAAAAGAGATTCTCATTACTCACAAAGGCTTCTCAACCAAAGCCAAGTTTACAATAAAGTCTAACCCCGAGTACAACCAAACAACAGTATGAGGGATGCTTCGCCCATACGTGGCGAGCTCATGACTAACTTTATTCTGCGATCGACAACAAAGACTAAAAAGGATCTCCCTTCCATCTGAGCCCGAGAGCCAAAGCGACTTGTCCATGGTGAAGTAGAACCGTATCTAGTATATTAAAAATTGAATTCGTGAAGACAAAAAAGAATAACAGTAGCACCTAGAGTGGACTAGGAGGGTGCTTGGATACGTTTTAGTTCCATGACTAAAAGTAGTGGGACTAAAACTTGCTAGCCTCATCCATACTTGGATCCAAATGCTAAAGAGACTAAAATCAAGTTATTGAACATTTATTATCCTCCAAACCCTCCAATCCAGAACTCGCATGTGTTAAAGGAGAGGAATTAAATGAGGAGGGAGAGGGCTAATACATATTTTAGTAGGTTTCCTATGACTAAAACTTTTTAGCCTCAAGACCAGTCCTAGCCTCTCTTTAGTCAGGGGTGCTTGGAACTTTAGCCTCTAAAAGGGACTATTTTTAGTCAGACTAAAAGTAGTCCCTTGGATCCAAGCACCCTCTAGTTATCCAAGGGACTATTTTTAGTCTGACTAAAAATAGTCTCTTTTAGAGGCTAAAGTTCCAAGCACTCCTGACTAAAGAGAGGCTAGGACTAGCCTTGAGGCTAAGATTTTTTAGTCATAGGAAACCTACTAAAATATGTATTAGCCCTCTCTCTCCTCATTTAGTTCCTTTCCTTTAACACATGCGAGTTCTGGATTGCAGGGATTGGAGGATAATAAATGCTCAATAACTTGATTTTAGTCTCTTTAGTATTTGGATCCAAAGATGGATGATGCTAGCAAGTTTTAGTCCCATTACTTTTAGTCATGGGACTAAAACGTATCCAAACACCTAAAGTGTACTGCTTCTAGCCGGCTACTAAAGTGTACACCGATCACATTGTAGTGGGGCAAAGCTCCAATTTCCTACTCGTTTGCAAAACTCCATTCTCAAAGGGATCAGAACACAAAAGTAATAAGAAGCCAAGATGAGGAAAGCTGCCGTGTGCACTGACGCAAAGGCATGGGAACCCGGCAGCGACGACTATTCCCACATGAAAAAGGAGCTCATTCCTCTGGAACCCGACAGCGACCAGTGGACACACACCCGAGTCAACACTCTGGAACTTCCGTGGGGCCGGCATGTCAGACACCAACCAGGGCACCGCGTGTCCCCATCATCTCCTGGCTCCTGCGCATCGCGTGCTCGCGTCAGGCATCAGCGCGTGCGTATGTACCTGGCCATCGAGGGCCAACCGTGCGCCCCAAACAATCGCCACGGACTTTTCGGCGCTAGGCGTTTCCGGTGGTTTCGCCTGTGCTTCGGACGCGATAAGAGAATGTTCCGGGCATGAAAGCGGTGGCCGGAGACGAGATGACAGTACTGTGGCCGGGCGCGTTCCGAATATGGCGGCGGCAGCAGCAAATCCATTACTCTTTAACCTGCGCAACAACGGAAAATCAAAGAGCATGATAATTTTTTTGTCCTGTCTTTGAAGCAATGATTTCAGACATGAAGTACATATATGAGTACTACGTTGTGTCATCCAACGGCTCGTCTATTGAGGAGGATTATGCCGATGAAACGACGATAATGCAGGCGGTGCTTGCAGATACGGAGCGGGCGGGAAAACATGTTTCAATTTCAAGGGCTTCGATCAAGGGTCATACAGTGCTGAATTGAAACATGGCACGTGGGTATTTGACGCTCATGGACCGATGCCTATTTCATGGATAATTTTCGTCGGTGCTTTCGCATGCAAAAAAAATGTTTATGATCGCCTCTACAATGGCGTCCAGTCTTACGATGATTACTTCATCTTGAAGAAGGATGTCATATGAACGATTGCATTCTCTGGTTACCAATGCAGATATTTACAATCTCTTTCCCCCATAAATCTGCAAAAATCAATTTAATACTATTGACTTAGGCTTAGGCCGTTGGGCCTCAGGAATTAAGAATGGTTCCAAAATTGAGGGAACAACACTATCTTTCACTTAGCCTAAAAGAAAACACTATATTTCTCTTGTCAGTGTCAGCAGCCTCCTGGATGATGCTCAGAGCCCGCTTCAGCCTCAACCGCGACCGCGCTGCGAGCTTCCCGTTGCTCTTCTTCGTCGGACTCACCGACACCGCGAACTCCCCGAGCGTCCGCTTGTTAAGCTTCTCGTTAAACAAGACGTCCTCGGAGTCTTCCACCTCCTCGCGCACCGGCACGTCGCGCATGTTCTTCTTGCCGCCGTGCCGCTCAGGCCTCTTGGCCGCGATCGCTCGCACGGCCAGCGCGGCCATGTCGGCGCTCGAGAGCGGCCGGCCGAGCAACGCTGCCGGGAGCAGGAATTATATCTGTCCCGACCGGAGCAACTCGTCGGATGCCAGCACCAGTGGGGGCTCGTTGAAGTAGAGCGCGTCGGAGTTGCACACGAAGTAGGAGGCGGCCTCGCCGACGAGAACGTCGGAGACGGTGACACGGGGAGTGGCAGGGAGCTCCTTAAGCGAGCTGTCAGTGGCGATGATCCTGATGGACTCGGCTGGTGTGCCTGCTCCAACAGGCTGCCTCGGTGGTTGGAACTGCTGGAAACCTTTGCGCCCATGGTTTCTTTGCGGTTGTGTAGTGTGAGAAAGTGAGATTTTTCTTTCGAGTTCGTTAGAACTTTGGATGTCGAGATTAAAAAGGATGGTGGCGTATATATAGGGCGTGTTTGTTTGCCGTAGTCTACCGTAGCTGCATTCATGGCCTACTGAACTCAGTTTAGCTATGCAAATGCAGCCTTAAATGCACCATTTGCAAGTTGTTTAGTTGTCTGCATGGCCTTTTGCCTGCATGGGCTAAACCACACTGCCTGGTGTTTGGTTGCCTGCGTGTTAGTGGACAAATTCAAGGCATGGTGTTTCGTTCTATGCAACGTCTGGTGTGTGGTAACCTATTTGGATAGTTGGTGACAGGCCCGACCCTGATGGGGGGCAGGGGGCGGCCGCCCCGGGCCCCGAAACATAGGGGCCCCACGTATGTGTGCTCTCTGTATTAGGCCCATGAAAAAATTGATCTTGCGCTAATTTAGATGCAACATGCCTGTACGTGTAGGTGTAGTAATGGGTAAGTAAATCAGCGATTCCCTGAAATTAGTGGAATTGCCGTTTCCCACGCGTAGGCCCGCACACTTGAGCGATCGATCTAGCCGCAAACCAATCCCTCAGAAATAACTTACTCCATATTCTAGAAACTTTGGTTGAGCGATCGATCTATTCACGGAGCAGATATCACGCCCGACTCGCTCCGCTGCAGCATCCTCCCGCGGAGTCCTCACCGATGCTTCCTCCTCCAACGGCGGCTCGGGTGATTCATGTTCGTCGGACAGGAGTAACAATACCCCCGATCCTGACGGGCAGTTTTGAACAATAGAATAGGTAAGCATCTTCTTGATTCATCATCCCAGAGCCAGCTAGTTTATGTGATAGTAGATAGGTTGCTAGTTAGTGGCACAATCTTTTCGCAAAAAAAAGTGGCACAATCAGTAGCTAGTGAATTAGGGGAGAAGAGTATGATGTAGTTGTCCGGCCTTCTGATTAATTAATCTAGCCGTGTTGGTGGTCTATGAAAGATGAGGGGAGAGAATGACTAGGATCCATGATAATAATACTCCCTCCGTCCGAAAATACTTGTCATCAAAATGGATAAAAGGAGATGTATCTAGTACTAAAATACGTCTAGTTACATTCTTTTTATCCATTTTGATGACAGGTATTTTCGGACGGAGGGAGTAGTTGAGATGAAACTAATCAGAAAATGCATGGTTGATTTAAATTTAGATGGCTAAATTAATTTTAGCGTTGTAAATTATAAAGTAATTTTAGCTGCAGGCGATGAGGAGCCGTTCATTTTTTTTGTTTGGCAAACTATATAGTGAAACATACAATGCATGTAATTTCCTTGGCAAAATCTAAAGTAAGATAGAATTAATATAATCACATACAATTAAATCAGGAAACTAGGTCGACATACTGGGTTGCACTCCCTCCATTGATAAAAAGTTAAGAGTAACCCGTGTTTAAAAATAATCATACCGTGCAAGATGCATAAAGGGCCCCGGGTTTTGTTTTCGCCCCGGGCCCCTCAAATCTCAGGACCGGCCCTGGTTGGTGAGGTTACCAGCACACTTCGGCACAACAATGTACCACACATCATAAGCAGAGCAGAGCATAAA